AAACATGGACAAGAGTTATTGAGAATACATCTTCTACCAATAAATATTTCTCCCTGCATTATAATTTGTGGATTGATCTTCATAATAATACCCCGTTCGTTGTATAAATAGTTGGTAGCCCTGGGAGACAAGTGCTCGATATGCTGTCAGTAAACTCGGCCAAAATATGACACACAAAGGGTTCGACAAGCCGGCCCTCTTTTTATTCTAGCCCTTGAAAGCGGAAAAAAGCAAGCCTAATGAAAGACGGAATGTGTTTTCATTCGGTCAATTTAGATAAAGTACAGTTTCTGATGAATTGATTCCTTCAATTCTTGGATTTTACTGTACTTTCAGCCCAGGGTAAATTCAGGAATTTCTGCCACCACCAAATAAGTTTTTGGATTTTTCCTCTCTGCCAGACTTTCCCTCACAGGCCTTTTACAGGCTATCTCACATGAGGTGTGTCCCGACCCACCTCATTAAAAAAACCCCCCAAAAATGTTGAAACACCCACCCACCCCATCTCACATTTCTGTGCCAGGTCTTTTACCGACATGGCACATCAGCTCGTTGACCTGGCACAGCAGCTCGTCCCTAAGTTTCTTGATCCATCCCTTATTCATACGTATCATTTTTATTCTAGCCCTTCGAAAATGTCGATCCTTGATAGAGATCTCTTTACCCAGATCAAGAAACTTGACCTAGGAAATAGTTGGACTGTATGGACGGAACCCCTTTTTATTTTGTGCTCAACGGGAAAGAAGTTCGCCAAACGAATTTGGAAATATTTATGTTTGCCTAAGCCTAGCCAAATATAGGTATGGTGAAGAGGTTTTCGTTTCCCACTGAGATCTTTTGCAAGATGAGATAGCAGTGAGATTGGTTTCCTCCTCAAGTATAAAAAAGTATTGGATATTTGAACTTGTGTTTTAGATTCATCTCTACATCCTTTTATGACGATGAATACAAAAAATGAAAAATAACGATAATAACCCAAACACAAATATTTAAGTAGAAAATTTCAAAATGGAAAAAACGACGTGATATAAAACACAAGAAAATTGCTACTTGTACATCACAAGATGTACATCAGGGTGTACACCCCCCTCACATGGGGATGAGATCCATTTGTGTAAAATATTTTTTATTAAAGTGGGTCACACCCCCATATGAGGGGGGTGTACACCCCGATGTACATTGTACTGTACAAATAGCAAAACCGAAAACACAATTATACACTTGTAAATGGTAAAAATTGAGGTGTTCTTATTGAGCTGACCCAACCAGCATAACGGGCTACTAATACTGGACTAATGATTTTAGGTCCAAAATAGGTCCTTAGTAGGCCAAAAACGAAATGGACCGGTAGCTAAAAAAGCCAATTGTCCTTCCTCAATTGAACGTGTGTAAAATATCAACCCAATGGACTTGGCCCATTTGAGGAAACAATCAGGCAAGCTAATGTAAATTTACAGCAAGGTCAATCCCATAGGAAATCATTTTCTTAGAAGGAGAACAAGTCAAATATCTACTCAGGTATCATTTATCCTTTTACGGCGGATGGAGAAGAATTTTTTTTGTCAACCGATAAATTTTTCGATTAAAATCATTAGAGGTCCTTTCGCTCACGTTTGTTATAGATTCAGGATCGCACAACACATTTTTGAATTGTTTGAAATCTTAAATGCAAATTACAATTTTTTAAATTAATTAAGTGTTAAAATGATCATTTTGTCCTTTTTAAAAAATAGATCAAATGGTGACTTTTGATCAACTGACAGATTTTTGGACGGAAACCATCCAAAAGTTCTTCTATCACAGTTTTAAAAGAATTGTGGGCTATCTACTACGATTTAGAGGTTGGAGTGTAATTTGTACCATTTTGAAAGATTTGAGACCTACACCGAAAATTTCCCTTTCTTCAATAGTCTCCCAAGAAGCCCAATATTATGAAGAATAAAAAAATCTTTGTCTACATGTCATAATCGTATTCATGACTTACCACATTGTCTAGATTTGGCCTCTTAACTAATTTAGGTAAAATGTCACTTCTCTTTGGTGTCGTAAGTTACTTATTCGAAGGGAATTTTTAAGCCTACAAACTATTGAAATTAGTTAACTTAACAACAAGTTTTACTAACATTCCAACAATGAAATGCGCAAATGAAATTAGATAATATATACCGAACAATGTTCAAAAATAAAAATATTAAAATCTTGTTCACTGTAGTGTCTAATTATATTTAACACGAACGAGCTCTCTGTCCAAACAGTGTTAAACCACATGCATGCATGGCTGCTGAAAATGACATGAACACCTGGCATTTTGGCAGCCAAAGAGTGTTAAGCCATCATGCATGCATGGCTGCTGAAAATGACATGAACACTTGTCTTCTGCTTTACGTAAATTAATGAGCAAGTTGAAAACTGGAGCAATTCCACGTAAATCCTCGTATCTCGTTGATAGAATCATTTTCCAAACTCAAATATTTTCCTTCTTCCCTTCAAACTTCCCAAAATCTTTGGGAACAAACCAAATTAGTTGATTTTTTCAACTAGAGCTAAAAAGAATTTGGTACAAGTGACATTGACTGCAAGCCAAGAGTAAATGTATTAGACAAAGATATTTTATTTTTTTAATGTCAAAATTAGGGTTCCTTCTCATCTATTTTAAGTTGAGAGATCCCATGTATCGAGGAGGCTTTGAGACTCGTAACATAATTAAATCAACTTCACGTATGTTCTAAAGTAGGGAATGATTATTGAACACTACACCAAAAAACACTATTTGCAACACATAAAAGGCAATATTAGGTAGTTAAATGTTGTTAAAGGGATCTATCGCAACATTCTAATACGTGAATGTTGTTAAGGCAACATTCGGTAGTTAAGTGTGGCTAAAGGGATCTATCGCAACATTTGCAACATATAAAAGACAACGTTTTTCACAATATTTAAAAAACGCTGCAAAATGGTTTTTCACAACGTTTTAAAAATGTTGCAAAAAAATCTTCCCTCAACAGCAACACTGAACTCCGCAACACACGTTAAAACGCTGCAGAAGGTCTATCGCAACGTTTTTTGGCCAGTGCAAAATGTGTTTTTTGGTGTAGTGGAACCTAATTCTTCATTTATATATAAGTTATTTAAATATGATAGGGAAGCTGAATCCACGAATCACCACAAAATAAAATAAAAATATCTCATTATATTGTGTAATTATAATATCAACAGTATTTATAATTTTTTTGATATTATTTATTGAGTTAAGCTAAATATTCTTAAAGTAAACAACTTAAAACCGCCAAACGTGACAAGATGTATTTTGAAGAATAGTGCATTTTCTCGAAGTCAAAACCATATGTCATATGTGCAATCTATAGTAACCATTCTAATACTATAAATTCATGTGCTGAACCTTGTGGAATTTTCATTCTGCAAATAGGATAAACTCAATCCAATATACATATTTTGTAAAACTCTGAGCTCGTGTCTATCGATAGCTCTTTGCTAGCGAATATACATGAATTCTATGAGAAGACAGTATCACTTGTTGTTCATCTTTCTTTTTCTTTACTCTCTGATATTTACTTCGGTACTTTATGCCACAGCTCGACCGTTGTTGGACGAACCAAGCAGGGTTAATCGAACGGGCCCACCAGCAAAGTTAGTGATGACATTCGGGTCAAGTCCGATTAAAGGAAAAAGATTACGAGACTTGCATAAAACTATTGGTTGGATTAAGCACTCTGGACCTAGTCCTGGAGAGGGACACGACATCGTTCATGTAGCCAATCACCAGTGAAATACAATCCGTTCTTCTGTGGATTTGTTTTTCTTTTTAAAAGATGTGCAAAAATAAAAGCAAGGAAACTAAGTTGTTGGCAAGATATTTACCAATAAAATCCTTGTAATATTTTACACGACACTACTATGTTCGAACTAAGAAAAAAATGTATATTATGGGCTTGTTTGGGCCCAACTTTTGTAAAAAAAATGTATTTTGAATAGTGTATTGATGAGAAATATATGGTTAAAAAATAAGAATTTTTTTTGAATTTGTATACAATGTTATTGTATTGAAGAATGTGTGGTTGAAGTGATGTTAAAACACTGTTCAAGAATGCATTTGTTTGACAAAAATTGGACTCAAGCAAGGGCTACGTAAGCCGTTACATTAGTATAAAATGAATTCCACGCTCGACTTGTTATTTTGTACTTTCTTGTTAGTTATCTTAGAACAATTGTTCGTGACTTTTAAGATTGTTTAAGCAAAGAAATCGAAATGTAATTTACAAAAGAATTAGTACACATTGCAATTATATTAATGAAAATTTGCAAAAGAGATCCCAAACCTTCGCTAGGTTTTCAAACCTTTCAATGGTTCTACTTATATTTCAAACTCGTTAATAAATGAGTACTCGATAACTTGTTGGAAATGTATTATCGACATATTTGCCATGCTACACCATCAAGACAATGGATTTTTGATAGTTCTCCGGGATCTTCCGTAGAAGTAAACCTCTTTCGCACTCTATTACTTATATCTTAAAATCAAGTTAAAATTATACTTTTATACGGTCTAATATTACTCAACAAAATGTACTTTAATTTTAAAATGTGGATACGAAGTATTCATTCATTTCTCTCAATACATAAATTGTCCTTCTTTTCTCATTTCTTTATGTACCTCTATAATTGTGTGAGACTTACACGTGTTTGGGGTAACTTATTTTAGAAAAATAAGCACTTGAGACGTGTACTTATTTTGAATGATGGTTATACAAAAAAGTATCAAATAATAATTAAAGTTTAATGATGGCAAAGGGCAAAAAAAATAAAAAAAGTACTCACAAACAGGCTCTAAATGCCAGGCACGATACAGCCAGAGCAAAATATTTCTAACTCCATCAATTTTGCCCTTTGAATGCTACAAGTGCAAATTTTCCACCAGCTTCACCTTCAAATTCCCATCTCATCAAAATCATCGTTTCCTTCGATCAAAACCCTCAATCTCCATGGGCGAATCGCATCGATGCCCTGTCCATCTTGCCATGGGCGGTGGCGCAGGTATAATCTATATCTACAATGATACATGTTCGAGTTTTAGGTTTTTTTGGACAATATTTTTGGGTGTACCAAACCTAATTCCAAACCCAGTACAGATTCATGATTTCTGAAGGATTTGATAATTGATTTCTAGCAATAATTTTTTCATACGGTTCATTTCTTGATGCAGCTGCAGATGTCTTGTTGTGGAAAAATTGGTTTGGGAGTGCTGCTCTGCTTGTCGGTTCCACCGCCCTTTGGTTACTATTTGAAAGAGCCGGCTATAATCTCTTATCATTTATTTCAAATGTCTTATTGTTACTTGTAGTGATCTTGTTCTTCTGGGCCAAATCTGCATTACTTCTCAATAGGTAGCATAAATATGGATGGATTTACGTATATCGGCATCTGGGATTTATTGCCTTTTAAGTTCTTTCCTGATTTGTTACTGTATTCTCCTTAGCTGAAGTTATATTTGGCTAGAAATTATTTCATTACTGGCAGAAACTATTTGATTGGTTATTTCATTATTAGGACTGACATTTGTTTCATGTGCCTGCTCACTTGTTTTTCTGATGGTGGGTGTTTCTATGTGCAATGTAATCCACTCTTAATTACTGGAATCTTAAAAGTTAAATGACTGGCTATCATTTCTTGATTTTAGACCTCTGCCCCCTGTTCCTAATCTGGACATTTCTGAGGAATCTGTTGTGAAAGCTGCTGATAAGATGCGAGTTTGGGTAAATCGAGCATTATCCATTGCACACGACATTGCCATTGGTGGAAACTTGGGACTCTTTGTTCAGGTTGTTTACACATTTTAATTTGTTTTTTCCCTCAAGCAGATAAAGTTTATTGACTGATTCTGTATAAGATAACTGATTTTTTTTTCAATGCAATGTGGATTTTGCTTGTTAGGTCTTTTTAAGCTCGTGGGTGATCTCCTACATTGGAGGCTTCTTCAACTTCCTTACCCTGGCGTATATTGGTCAGTATTTGCTGGATCTACTCTAGGTCTATGTGTTTTTCTCATAATTTATAGTTGTAATGTGTTTTTGTTGTTGTTATTGCAGTGGTTCTTCTTAGTTTATCACTACCTGTGTTGTACGCCAAATACCAAAAGCAAATTGACGAAAAGCTGATTATAGCACATAAGATTATTCAGTTACAGTACCGGAAAATCGATGAACAAATATTGAGAAAGATTCCAGTGCCTTCAAACTATGATAAGAAGACCCAATAGATTCAGTGTAATCTCCTCACCCTAGCCCTACCTTTCTCTCCCCCCGGTGACTATAGCTCTTGTTTGTATCATTTGTCACATGTCTATACTCGACAAAGTCTTCAAGTACTCTGGTGCATCCATTCAGGTGTCATTTTTCTTGACTAACATGTTGTGAACAAGCATTATCATGATGGGCATGCCTGCGAGTCATGATTTAATTTTACAAAACTTGTGTACAATTGACATGTACGTGTTCTCACTTGGCATTTCAAAACATTAAAGGAAGACGTATTGCAGCTGAAATTCTTGTACACTTCTTGGATCTGTGCTGCTGCGACATTGTGATGAAATCAAGCCATGAATTTTTTTTATCAACCCTTCATTTATATAATTACTCTACATTTTGGGCTTAAACATAAATCTCAAGATGAAAAAATGTGATCTTGTAATATACTACAAAAGGCCCAAGAATGTTTATATCAAAAAATTTCGTGAATCACATGTCTTTCTCGTAAGACTGAGAGGCAAAAAAAAAAAAAGAATCATTTACGAAAAGTATGGAATACTGGGCAATCTGAAATTTTTTTAAATGCCAATAGTTGGTTATTAAGGAATACAAAGGAAAGGACAAAAAAAGGTCAATTGACAAAAAAGATCTCTAAGGATAAGTTATTAGAATATTAAACTGTTGCCCATGCACGTCTTTGATTTGCTTTTGACAACTTCTGTGGTAAACCTTTTGTTGATCCTATTGGTTTGGCTTGTCTAAAATAAGTATCATCCTAGAAAATATTTGTGAGAATACCATTGAATAGCTAAAAGTCCTTTTCTTTTAGCCTTTTCATAAGTTCCTAATATACTTTTTGTTTAACAGTCTATTGTGAGAATCATAATGAATATTTGTTATAGCCTTTTCATAGGTTCCTAATACACTTTGGGTGCATTTGGTTCTACGCTGCCAGTCCAATGTACTGTTCCAAAGCGCCTTTGTGTTTTACAATCAGTTTTGTTGTAGCATTTATGCTCTTAGCTAATTCTACCCTTCCAAGTATAGCTTGTTATATAAGCCAAATTAAGTCAATCTACAATGTCTTGCTTTATTGGTTTTTATTCTTGATCTTTGTCAAATATTAATTGAATTTGCTGAAAAAGCTTAAAATGTGCTGAACTTACCAGACTTCCTTGTAGAGACATGAAAATTTTATATTTATCCATTATATTCTCTTTGCATAGTTATAGCAAGCCAGGCATATTGAAGTTCTAAGGCCTCTTGAGGGTTAGGTGCAAAGTGAAGCAGTCTTCAAATTTATTTTCAGAATAAAAATCTTATAGCTCTACAGACTACAGTAGTAAAATAAGTAGATAAAACCCAACACAAATTTTTACAAGTTATTCAATATGATGTTATCTGTTAAGAAAATTACACCTAGAATAATATAATTGTAGCACATTTATTTAAGCTTAATGGTTAATGTGATAATCATATACCCAACTCTCACATTATAGGTAGACCATGCCCTGAAACATTAAAGGCCCTGTTTGGTTCGGTTAAAAATCAGATTTTTAGACTATTTTGATAAAAGTTGATGAAATGTGTGATTGAAAAGTTAATAAAGGATGTGGATCCTATAAAATGTATGGTTGAAAATGAGTTTGGAGAAAATTGAGTTTTGAATAATTGGGGCCAACAAATGGTAAAATCAAATAAGAATAATTATATGTTGTAGCTTTGAACATTTTATGGGTTATTTTTGTAGATTATATTCAAATAAATATGGGAAGGACGGCCTAGTGATTATTTTGCTCTTGATAATTAATTGTAATACCTATTTACCACTGTTTGTTTAAAACAATTGTTAGCACAAACAAGAAAAAACAAAACAAATAATTTTATTTTGGCTATTTTTCTGCTCTATTTTGCTTTGAAGCCTCCGAAAGTGTAAGAAGTGCTCTCTTTAGGCTATCTCCTCAAACATGAAAAAATTCCAAATGTTATGCTTCTTTTGCACTGTATCTCCAGGTGCACAATTTTAAGAGCCAAGGCATTTTATTTGATGGGGGTGTAGTCATATTTTGGCTATGTGCTCCTCTTCTTTTTGTACACTTAAAAACTGATAAATTATTGGAAGTTAGAGGGAAGCAACTTTAATTATAGTTCTGCCAGCATTATCAAGGCGTCACAGTGTTTTCATCACATCTCTCTCTCTCTCTCTCTCTGGTGTCTGTTTACGTGTACCTCAGGCATTCCATCTTTCATCATGGAATTTAAAGTATCAATGTAATGATTCATTGTTTCTTCAATTTGTTTTTACCCTGAACTGGGAAGACGAGAAGAGCTAAACTTTAAAAAATGCTCTCACTAATTCTTGAAGGAGATACTTTATGAGAGGTTTTGCAAGTTCTACATTGCTGAAATCATGCAAACGTCTCAACTTTTTGCTTCACTAGTATCATCCTTATTTACTCGTAAACACAATGCCAAATTCAGTGAAATTCTTATAAAAAATTCTTTTTGAAATTTGTGGGCGGAAGATAATGAATCTGTAGTTAATAGGTACTAAGAAATAGCGCATATGCGAGATCTAAGAGGTTTGTGGATTGTACAAGTGCTTGAAATGCACAGGGGATGAATATGCACGCCATAATCTCTCTCTGAAATGTGTTTTGTTTTGTGAATTGTGACTTTTTTTTTTCGAAGGTATTCATTTGTATATTGCTTTGTGAAGCCAAGCTTCATATTATGTACAGTTCCATCTACTTCTCTTTTTGCCAAAAGCGAACACTTTGCAGACTATTCATCTTAAAGCATCTATTAATGATGAAAGTTTTATTTCGTACAAATGAAATATAAGTTTGTATTTTCCATTCCTGTTCATCTACGTAATGATGTGGAACATAGAATGTTTTAGAATATTGATGTTGCCTTTTATCAACTGCGATGCACTACTTGAATTTCTCTAATATTTTTGCAGGTATTGTTGGGCATCTACATTCCATACCATTAGTTCTGATCAATGGTTTACGGGAGAGGCTAATAGAACTTTGTTTTTCATGCTCGTAACTCATTGGTCATAATTTCTAATCCTTTTCCACGCCTCATTGACTGGAATACCGTAACAGGTCTTGACTTTGGTCTAAAAGTTAATCAATTGAGGATCTGCAGCTTGCTTATTTTGAAGTATCATTCTGTGAATGTCAAAAGTCTAAAATTTGTGTGCATATTGGCATGTACTTCCTTTCGCAGAGATACTTTAATTCCGGAGAACTTTTTTCCCTCTTGGAACTTCTTGTCGTAATGTACCATCACGAGCGCTTAGTACCACTATATGGGACATTGAATGTTACATATTACAATTGGTTATTCCCTTTTCAAATACTTTAGCTTCGGAGACAGCGTTCTTTTGGCCTTTTCAAACCCTTGATCGAGAAAAGCAAATGCTACGCTACGTATCATCATGATCACCCGTGTTTAGCACTCAATAGTTATATTTATTTTATATTTTTATTTTCACCAATTATAAGGTGTTGGGTCCGCTGAGATCTAAATTATTCTCAACTACAAATAGTATTATTCTAATAAATATACCCAACTACCCTACAACCACTTAACTCAACTGTAGTGTAGACTGTAGATCCATGTTTGAGCGGCATCAAATCTATCAGATCCATGGGACTCTCAAATTCGACACAGAAAAATGAAGCCCAACACACAAAACAAATCTTCATCTTATCCGGCCAGTCGGGCCAGAGCAACATGTCGGGGCGCGGCGGCGTTCACAACCACCAATGGGACGGCGTCGTTCCGCTGGAATGCTCTCCCGATGCATCTAAAATTTTCTGCCTAAACGCACGCCTCTGTTGGGAGGTGGCGCATGAGCCCCTCCACCGCGACATTGACAGCCAAAAAATATGTGGAGTGGGGCCCGGAATGTCATTTGCCAACGCTATCAAGGAGCGGGTCGGGGTGATCGGGCTGGTTCCATGCGCCGTAGGTGGGACCAGAATTAAGCAGTGGGCACGCGGAACTCATCTGTACGAGAACATGGTAAGGAGAGCCAGAGCGGCAGCTGCGCAGGGCAGTGAAATTAAGGCTATGTTGTGGTATCAGGGAGAGAGCGATACGACGTCGCTCGACAATGCTGCGTCCTACAAGGAGAACATAGAGAAGCTTATTCACAATGTACGTGCTGATTTGCATTTGCCATCTCTTCCAATTATTCAGGTCAGGGGAAAAGTCACTTCTAAATCAAATTATGCCATGTCTCAATTAGGGTCATTAGATACAATTTGGTGTTATTTTGTAGGTGGCAATAGCATCAGGAGAGGGCAAATTCATTGAGAAAATAAGACAAGTGCAAAAGGGAATTAAGATCCCACATGTTTTATGCGTCGATGCAAAGGGATTGCAACTCAAGGAAGATAATCTACATTTAACGACACAAGCCCAGGTAGAATTGGGACATATGTTGGCTGAAGCTTATCTCACCCATTTTGTACCCTCCTCTGACTTGGTCGTCTGATACTTTGTCAATTTCATTTTGTCGTACAATATAGAATGTTCTACAAGCCAAGCCATAAGTGTGTGATTTGTTCAAGTTATCAAGTATTTTGAATGAACAAAGAGTCTTTAATTCGGGCAGTATTTAAGATCCGTTTAACATGGCTTTTGTAAAGTCAAAAAGAATTTTTGAAACTCAAAAGTTACTTTCGAACCATTTTGATTACTTTTATGAAAGTGTTTCTTCTGATTAGAAGAATTTTTAGAGTAAGCTAATCCAATGTGACTTTCTTTATAATCATTTTCAAAATAGAATTTTTTTTTAAAAGAAATTAGTTTTCAAAGAAAAATAAAAATCGCTTTATCTAAAAGCTCATATAGAAAAAGCAAAAGTTATGCTAAATCAACCCTCATTCTTGTTTTTTCCTTAGGGCTAATAGAATATCTATAATGTTTAAAGCAAATTTTCAATTTTAACAAGGGCTTATTGTAAATTATCTTTCCATAAAATTTAATGAACTATAGCGATCTTCATTTAAATGAACTTCAAGACATGAAGTTGGCGATGACGAAAAGATTGTTATTTTTTTTAATAAAATTGTTTTTAATTTTAATTCGAATGCTATATCATATTGATTTGATTCACATAGCCTAGCTCTTCAAACTGGACAAGTTCACGATTCACTTAGTAAAAATTGATTGACAATTTAATATTTCTCACATTTCTCTCTTTTATAAAAATAGAATTGTTTAATCTCATTATTTCATATAAATTGTTATATTATTGATATTTCATCATCATAATGATATTTTAAATTGAAAAGAAATTTTTTTGACAAAAAAGTAATGATATAACTTTTCAATCATGTTACACTACCATCTTTGTTGACAGCTTGGTTGACATTCTCTAATAAAAAGACATAAATGCCCTACTTCTATTATCTACTCAAGTCAATGTTCTCTATTCCTATTATAGGATAAGTTTGGTTTATTTCTCCTAATAAATGAAAAAGCCAATTATGCTCGTATTTATCAATATATTTTTTATTAAAACAATCGTTTAATATTCTAATTTTATTTTCT